GAGAGAGAGAGAGAGAGAGAGAGAGAGAGAGAGAGAGAGAGAGAGAGAGAGACCTTATAGGCAGTGATCCTAAGACAGCACCACTGCAGTTCAGAGCAGCTATTGCACTATCAGCCTGTTGAGGAAGAAAATCATTACATGAGGCTCACAGGTAACCGACAAACAAAAAAAAAATTGAAGGGGAATTCGAATCCATAATTTATCCACAGAAAAAGAGTTATTTATGTAACAACATAACATAGCTAACAACATATAATGGAATTTTTGTTCGCTTTAATTTTAAAGTGGCTTTATATCAAAGGTCAGAAGTACTATCCGCAAAACAGCCTTTTTTCTCAAATTTTAGTCCATCACTAGTCATAGAAAATAATATTCACAACTCTTGGAATTAAAAGCCGAATGCAAACCACGCCAAAGTTGATTCGGAATTCAGAATGACTCTCACAGAACAGAGACCAAAAAACAATTAAAAAGATCAAAGAACAGGTTAGAGTTATACACAATCACTATTTCTCCTGGAGGTGATTCCCAATGGTAAAGGGGTACTATCTCGAAAATATTTCCCTTTTCACCAAATAATGTTTTAATTTATTATAGCACATGGTGTTCACATCTGTTGAAAAAATTCATTTATGAGTGAAAGATGATTTTTTTTTTTTCCTCCCGTGGCATTATCAGCGAAGGAAATAAAGGCACTCTTGTATGAGGTTATGAACAAATGGTCATCCACTTTGGTATAACTGCATAACCTCTATGGATGCACAGGATTAAAGTTTTTAAGTGGGTGGCTTAATTAAGTTACGATAACTAATAATGTTCAGCTAGATTCAACATTGGCGAAACATAAGAGATGGAAAGTGAACTTCTTAAAATATGATTCGTCTCATGAAAGCATAGGATAGGAAATAAAGATGCAGCAAAGCTAAGGGGATAAATTTACTATAGGTTTACACGAGCATATAAAAGAATTCTGATTAGCTTTTGTCTAAAAGAAGAATTTAATAAGTCTCATCAGACCATCAACAGTCCTTTGGCAAAAAATCAAAATCTGCAACAGATCAGAGACTGCTTTAGCTAAATACGTTCACATAGAGAAAAAATCGAACAATATAAAAACCCAAGATTCTTACCATCACAAACTCCACAAAAGCTATACGAGTGGCGTGATGATAATCGCCAAGCAACCTCAAACGATGAACCTGAATCAACATGCACATTGTGATATTAACAGAAAATTTCAAGAGATCAACCAATATTCACAGATTTTCACAAAAGCAGCTACAAACCTCTCCACAAAGAGACTCGAAGAAGAGCTTAACATCTGCTTGAGTAACCTATGCATAAAAGAAAAAAAAAAAAAACAAATTAATAAGTAGATAATCATGCATAAATGTATCATATATTGTTGTGCCCACAGCAACTCATTATTTGTTACCTGTTTGTCAATGTTTGTGCAATAAATAGTCCTTGCACACATCTCCCTTTCACCCTCAGACTATTAAGTGCCCACCCAACAGAAACAAATTAGTATTTAAAAGTTGAAATCAAATAGTGCTTTAATTGCAAGTACACGTAAAATCGTAGCAAAATTTTCTCACTCTTGGCAAGAAAGTCGGGTTAACAGGCGCAATTGCAGTTTTGGAAGGAAGCACTTTCACTGGGTAGTATCCGAGCATGGTCCCACTCAAGCTCAAAGCATTTCTTGCCCCTTCTGCAAATCGAGTGGGAGATATTGCAATGTACTTGAAATTCACATTTAAGAAAATATTAGAAAAGACAAAAATATTATCAGTTGAATAACAAACCCTCATCAGTGAATTCAACGAAGGCAAAACGAAGCACGGAATTGGGATCACCACAAACACGGCAGTCCACGACCTTCATCATTGAACATCAGAAAGTACAAAAAACAATCTTTTATTTTTAGTTCTTAGATGAGGGGAATTTTACTGTTTGGTGAAAGCCGAAAGGGTAAATAAAACACATGTTTACCTGTCCACAGTTGATGAAAAGTGCTGCAAGCTGCTCCTCAGTAACCTAAGAAATTAATACCTCGCGTTAAAAATTGTAGAAACAAATAGGAGTTGAATGAACGAGGTTTTGTTTAAGCGAAAACCCGGTACCTGATGATCAATGTCAGAAACGTAGACAGTCCTCCTGATCACGTCTTCCCTCTGAGCAAGGCTCGTTCGAGAATTAGTCCTCCGCTTTCCATGAGCATAACCATTTTTCTTCTGCAACAATACAAGATCATAACCAAGGATAGTGACTGATTTTAATCAAATTACAAGCCAAGGTTGGTCCAAAACCAAATGAGCGCTTTGCTACTTCTAAGCAGTTAACCTCAAAATATTTTACTGATTACCATTACAACAAACACCATAACAAGGACAGTATAAAAGTTAAAAGGAAAAAAGAAAAGAAAAGAAAAGGTGCCATTTTTAAGCAGAAACCGAGGATAGAAAAGAATCTTCGGCTGAAAAATTATGTAAATACCAACCTTTCTAAAGGAATTGCCGTTTTGAGCTCCAGGGCTCACAGGCTGCTGCACCAGAAAACCGTTCGTGGCAAAACCAAAATGCCCAGCCGCAGCTGCCGCCACAACATGCGGCGGCGCCACCAGATACCTCTGCTGTCCGCCGGCGAATGAGTAAAGGGACGGCGGCACAAACTCCTCGGCCATGGGGTTTAGTTTCGAGAGCATCTCCTCCAAATCCCTCATCTCCCTCTTAAACCCTTCACTTCCGTCGTCCTCATCGCCGCTCGATTTCCTCTCCGGTGCCACACCGTTGCCGTTG